TACATTTTTTTTCATCTGAGCATTACTTCCATAAGTTAAATCAAATCACTTCTTAATAACCGTGTCATGGTCCTTGGCGTCTGAAAATCTGTTTCCACAAAGGCATTTTTTAATCCAGAAAGGATTGGACCCATAAATAATTAACCGAGCTGAGCAGACGTGCAGTTTCACCAGGTATTTGCAAGTTGTTGCAGCTGATAGCCTGCAGGAGTTGCGGGGGAGGGGGGATCTGTGATGCAGAAGTTCAGCTTGGAGACAGAGGAGGAGCTGCACCTGAAAGGCGGTTCTAGGGCCAACTCTCTGTTTTTGTTCTCTTGCATGACTGCCTCAGGACAGTATAGGATGTCTCAAACATGCATGAATGAGTCAAAGCAAGACTCTGGGCATGTTTTTGATGAGAGGATTACATTATAACATAATATAAAGCTCAAAAAAGTAGATTTTACATGACATTGCCCCTTTAAGTATTTGCTAAAATAGCTAGTTTTAGCTAACTAATCTGATGTTTTTGCCTGTTGTGGTTTAGCAGTCCCGAACGTGTTTGAGGGACATGAAACTAATGGTCACAGACCAACTTCATCTGAGCTTGAGGACAACACAGGTACTGGCTTTTTACAGCACTGTAGTGCCACCTACTTACAGTAGATCACACGAGAAAGTAGAAATCAGCTGTAGAAAACTAATTCCCATGCAGAAACTTACCCCATTTACAGAAAGATGTTAGAGATGCATCTCAATGTCTGTTTACTTGTAACAATGACAAATGTGCTGTGACAGTTTCCCACACATTTGACGGACACACACATGAAACTCATCATCACAAAACAACAGCCACGTTGGAGTTACATGGAAGAAAAAGGCAAGAAGAGATGTATAAAGAAAGGGAAGGTATTTTTCTGTAAATATTTGGTTTGTCTGGGTTTTTTGTAATGTTCCCATTAAAACTATAGCTGAAGTTTTAGTTGAAATGTTCTTTTTTATTGTTATCTTTGTTAAAAACCCTGATTCGTCCAGTCTCCCACAAGCCTGATCAACACAGACATGAGACTCATGAAGACAAAACTAGTTCATCAGATCATGATCTGCAGGAGGCTGAGCGAATAGGTATTGTTTACTAGATGGTAGATCTTCTATTTAGGCTTCTGGCTTCTGGTGTTTTTAAATTAACTTATATTTGAAGCCAATCTGCATTATGGATAACCACCAAATGATTGTCTCATGTTTTTTGTTTGTTTGTTTGTTTGTGTTTTTTTGTTTTGTTTTTTCTTGTTTTTCTTGTTGTGTCCATGACTCGTGGTGTATCAGTGGCCCACAAAGCTGACCTTCACGGTCACGATACACAAACTGGGCATGAGGAGCGTCCTTACAGACCTACTAAAACAAGAGGTATCACTTTTATATGTAGTTGTAGGAAATCAGCATCATAACTCATTGAAAAAAATACCTTCTGTTATTTAAAAATATAATATCAGTCCAAATATTAAGTAACTTATTATATAGATATCATTTACATTTTTCTAACAATTCCTGTAAAAATATACAGTTAAAATGTTTATAGCTTAGCTTGTCAAGACAAAAATATTCAATGTTAACCATTTTTTCATGTTTTTATCAATAACACTCCTCAGTTTCCTATAAGAATGAAGAACATTTACATGGAACTCATCCCCACAAACACTCAGGTACATGTGTTAGATGTAGGAAATAATGGGGGAGTTGGTATAGTGATAGCACTGTCACCCTACGTATTAATTAGGGGTGTCCCGATATCAGCTTTTTTCAATCCGAGTACATGTACTTTAGTACACTGATACTGAGTACTGATACAGAGTACATACTGAATTAGAACCTAAAAGTTGCACAAAACTTTTAAAAACACATTTTTTTATTTAGAACAAGGTGGCTGTCCTTCTTTATAGGCCTGTGACTGGATCAAATCAAATATAAAGCATGATATATACTGATGCAACATTTTGTATTAAATAAAATAACAAGATTTCTTAAACATGGAACTGACAAACACTTGAAATGCCACCTGTGATACATTCAATGGAGTATCAACAGTGATACTCGTATTGGTGTCGGTCCTGAGTTACAGGGCATTTTGTACCAGTATACTTGTAAAAATGCTGGTATCGGGCCACTAATATAAATGATGATAAAACTCAGCTGAGTGAACTTGTTCTCCCTGTAGTTGTTTGTGTTTTCCGCAGTTGCTCTGGTACTCTAGCCTTTTTATTGCAAACTTTGCATTTTTTCTAATAATAAATACTGGTTTAGACAGTTTGTTGGGCTATATGACCCTGGGGATGGATGGATGGATGGATGGATGGATGGATGGATGGATGGATGGATGGATGGATGGATGGATGGATGGATGGATGGATGGATGGATGGA